CTTTTTTCTTTTTTTTTTTTGTCTTTTTTCTTTTCTTTCTTTCTTTCTTTCTTTCTTTCTTTCTTTCTTTCTTTCTTTCTTTCTTTTTTTTTTTGTCTTCCTTAAAAAGCACTCTGGAGGCTGAAGCAGCAGCCACAATGAGACACTTTTAAGAGCAGACATAACATCCACCCTTCTTCCCAAAGTCCCAAAGGCAAACCAAACTGAGGCGTGATTCCACCAAAGTTCACTCTGGGCAGCCAATTAGTTTATTAATTTATTGGGCTTCTTTACAGAGTAGGTGAGGGGTTAGCAACAGGGGTGTGGGTATTTTTGTCCCCCAGAAGTCATACCTTAACATCTTGACTCAGCAGGGATAACGGCTCTCCTATAGTGCATGGATGAGCCCCTCCCTAGTGGTCCTTGGCCTGTGTACTGTCACCTTTGCTGGACACCACATGCAATTAAGGAAGAACTGCATGTGACGGGTGGTTCTTTAGCAACCCAACCCTCTCCTTGAGGGGGTGTTAATTAACTGGTATGATCTTTAGCAAGTGGGCTCAGCTGAACACCCCAAGATGGTGATTAATGGGCTTGGGGTCTAGTCATGAGCAACACCCTGTCTCAGAAATAAGTAGATTAAAACTCATCAGTCATTTTTGGGGTGCTTTGTCTTTTGACACGGGTTCCCCATGTAACCTAGGCTTACTTGGAACTGCTGCAGCTTCCCATGCGGGATTAAGTGCACCCCTAAACTGGGCCCAAAGGTTTTAAGTTTTTGTTTTTGGTTTTTTGAGGCAGGGTTTCTCTGTGTAGCTTTGCACCTTTCCTGGATCTCACTCTGTAGACCAGGCTGGCCTCGAACTCACAAAGATCCACCTGGCTCTGCCTCCCGAGTGCTGGGATTAAAGGTGTGTGCCACCACCACCCGGCTTGTTTTTTTTTTTTTTTTTTTTTTAAGATAGGTAGGGTGTCTTGTAGCCCAGGCTGGCTTGGAACTCATTACTCCAGCCTAGCTAGAATTCCCTATAATGCTCCTGTTTCTGTCTCCTGGGTAACACGAATATTAGATGATCTTTTAATAAAAAACCCAGAGCCAGATATTGGGGCGAAAGCTGAAAGACCAGAGAAATAGAACAAGCCACAGCCAACCTCATCTCTTCAACTCCTCACCTGATTCTGTGTCCACGAATCCTCAGACTGCAAGCTGCATCCTCACCCCGAGGGTCTCAGTTGAACTGCTTTAGTTCCTGTCTCCTCACGCCTTATATACCATTCTCCACCCAGCCATCACTTCCTGGGAATAAAGGCACGGGTGTGTGCTTCCCAAGCAAAGGCATGAGATCTCATGTTGGGATTAAAGGCCTGTGCCACCACTGCCTGACTCTGTTCTCAGTGTGGCCTTGAACTCACAAAGATTCAGAAGAATCCCTGCCTCCCAAGTGATAGGATTAAGGGTGTGTGCCACCATTGTCTGGCCTCTATGTCTAATCTGGCGCTGTCCTCTGATTCCCAGATAAGTTTATTATTGTACACAATATACTAGGGTACACAATATATCATCAGACTCTTGAGTGCAGGAATTACAGGAATAAGGCACCAGGCAAATTTTTTGGGGGGTGGGGTTTGTGGGGGAGTTGGTTTGGTTTGGTTTTTTTGAGGCAGGGTTTCTCTGCAACAGTCCTGGCTATCCTGGAACTCACTCTGTAGACCAGGCTGGATTCGAACTTACTGAGATCCACCCACCTCTGCGTCCCAAGTGCTGGGATTAAAGGCGTGCGCCCCCAACGCCCTGCCCAACTTCTCTTTTAAAAAATCTATCAGAGCCGGTGGTGCACGCCTTTAATCCCAACACTTGGGAAGCAGAGGCAGGTGGGTCCCTGTGAGTTCGAGGCCTGCCTAGGCTACAGAGTGAGTTCCAGGAAAGGTGCAAAGCTCCACAGAGAAATCCTGTCTCAAAAAACCAAATATATGTTTGGTATATATGAACCGGGTGTGGTGGCACATGCCTTTAATCCTGGCATTCGGGATACAGGAGCTGGCAGATGGCTGTGCTCAGCCTGGTCTACAAAGCTTGTTCCAGGACAGCTAGGGTTACACAGAGAAACCTGTACCGAAAAACGGGGTGGGGATGGAGTGGGCGTGTTTGTGTGTGTGTGTGTGTGTGTGTGTGTGTGTGTGTGTGTGTGTGTACATATATATAAGGGTTGGCTTTGCTTATCCCTCCCTATCACCTAGAATGGTGATAGGTCCTAGATGTTCCAGTTGCTCCGTTTTTGCTTTGACAGTCTCTGGTTCCTCCTGTGCGTCTCTGTGTGTGGTCCAGGGTGGACGGTTACGAGTAGCACTAGACTGCATATTTTCAGTTTTGATAGGTTGGGGCTCAGTGCTCCCCAGTAAATTACCCACAGTCTCCTAGCGCTAGGCTTCCCTGGGCGGATCGTCCCACCGTGAGCTGG